ACAGTCATTGATATTTGTGCTCTGTGCAGAGACTGTAAGCACGCCGCTCACCAAAGATCATTACTTTACTTAAATACTCTCTCTTAGGGTTTACTAATTACCCTTCCTTTTTTGCTCTTCCTATAATTCCCCAATGGCTTCGTTTCTGCATATCCTCCCAGATTTACCTTCACCAATGAGTAAGATTTGCTCCCCTTTTCTTTCTTTGTCTTCTCTCTCTAGCTGCAATGTTGGGTCTTGTTCTTCAGATTTTTGGAACAGTTTCGTCATAAATTTCTGGAATGTCTAATCCATTGCTCTGCATTTTGCCCCTTTGCTTCGTTCTGAGTTGTTTCTGTATGTGGGTTTTTTCAATTAGGGTTCAAGCAGAAACAATTAGGGTGTTTCTCTTTTAGGATTGTTGTCAAACATATCTCTAATAGTTTACTGTTGTCTAAAAGCAATGTGTGTGTACCTTGAGACAGTGGAAGGAAACCATAAGCTTATGAGTTCTTGTTTTTGAATCCTTGGTTTAGGTGGTCCTCATACAATGGAGATGCTGCCAAGAACTGGTCGGAGGATACTTACCCGGTTTCTTACTCCAAATGTGTCGTTGGTGAGTTGATATGCCTCAGATTTGGTAGGGAATGAAGCAGATTGGTCCGTGCTTGTAGGATAGATGTATAAATTTTCAATGTCTATCTTCTCTTCTGTTTCCATATTTATTTGGATTTCTTGAAATTGCAACCGTTTGTGATTCTAATTTTTCGTTACAAAATCGTATGCATATCAATCTCTTTCAACTTTTCGATTACCACAATGCAAAGAACATACGATTGATCTTCCGCTAGAGAGTATCGCGTAAATAGATATCTTAGTTTAGGGTCTCAATGTCGATAACTGTACATCGAGAGAGCCTATAAATTATCCACATAATGGAATTAGACAACGATAAATTTGAAAAAACAAAAAATCAAGGAATGAAAGCGCTTGTGCTGTCTCTACGCGGATCGTGATCTTGTGCGACTTCTTGCGTGTTGTTACTCTTACCTTGACCTCGCCAAGACATTGTGAGTCTTGATGGGAAAACTTTCTTGTTTGATTCTTGGTTTGGGACCTTCTTCTGGTCACTGACTGCGTGCGAGAAGCTTCTGAGTTCGTTAAGCCGCTTCATCTTCTCTTTCTTTTGTTTCTTCTTATGGAAAGAAAGAAAGAACAAAGCCACCACTTTTGTGACCTTGTTCCCTGAAGAAGTAGATGAAGAAGGAGATGCTTTCTTGAGTTTCAAATGCCGGTTGTGGCGCCGAGGACAGCTCTTGGTGATTCTGATCAAGAGCTTCCTACACGGTCTCAGAATCTTGTGGTTTAAGGTAACCAACGACGCTGCCCCTCTCATCTCTTTGAAATTTTGCTCTGTCTATAGCAAAAGGTGAGAGAGAACTTGACAAGAAAAAAATAAAGAGAGAGACAAGGTCTGGGGTATAATGTATGTGTCTATGTGAATGTTGTTGGCTTCTCTTTTGTAACCATATCCTTTTGCAGGTGGGTTTCACGTTTTGTTGTGTGTTTAAGAGTCTTTCACTTAGTTTGTGGTACACCATGATTCTGAAATTTGACAAGGGACTTTGTCTTCTCTCAACTGACCAAGTCTTAAGTGTTAGATTTTTCTGGCCATTTTCTCTTTTATGCCTTATGCTTGTTTCAAGAAGCTAAGTCTCAAATGCCAAAAGACMAAAAAATGTATACCTAGCTTTGCCTTGGAAGATGAGATTAGTAGGTTTAGATCTCAGATAGATTCTCTATTGGGATTTCCTTTAAGCGGTCCATCTGATTCTAAAAGGACGATAGAGATCATGCCATGTCACGGGGCCACGTTATAGTTGACATTACGCAACACATCGCATCAGCCTACAGAGATGTCAAATCTGTGTTTACTAGGCTCGACTCAGTCATACTAGGCCGATTCTAGACAAAATAGGTATGATCGAAGAGAGGTTAGATCTGAAAAATAGAGAGAGTGTGGGATTCTTTAGGCCGGACTAGTAGTAGTCTAGATAAGACTCTACACGAATTTCTTTTTTTTGTTTTGTACTTCTTGCTTATGAAAAGTGTTTAGGAGAAAGTTATGGGCTGTTCAGGATATTCCTCTATAAGACCAAAACAATTCGGAATTGGGCCCATCCCAAGTTCCCAACAAGACACTG